AGAGTTGCGGTTTTTGTTCAACTGACATTTTGCTCTTAATTCCTTGCGATAAGACTTTTAGCTGATTCCGCCGGCGTCTACAGATCTTTACTGCTGCTTAGCACTTGAATAAAATTAAAAAAACACTCACAGGGAATTTTGATTCAATCACTGAAATGTTTTGGGAAAATATAAACGGAGTAGCTAATAAACATCTCCTAAATGAGGACCTGAACCTTTCGTTCTCGTAATATAAAAAAGAGACTATCCTGTACTTTTGTCATGAGTATTTACTTCCGAAAAAGATTTATGATCATCTTTAAGAGCAGTAAAACTGAACGGGAAAATTATGATAGTTCTCAAGGCAGCCTAAATTAGGGTACTGAGCCCGCGAACATCACTGTTACATTAAGCCTCCATTACATGCAAAAGTAGAGTGGGCCTCAGATCAAAACTGTCATTGTTGTCCCTAGTACCTCCGCAGTGGCTCCTTACCAGGTCTCTAATGAACACCATCGAGCATAATTTCAACTTAGACTAAGACACAATTTTGCCCACTTTGAAACTATAAATTTCCTGCTGACCAACAAAACAGAAAAATGGGTTAAAAAAGAGTGGGCTTTGACTTATGTAAAGTGATTACACTGAGAATTTTCACATGAATCATGTTTCGAAAAGTAAGTTTTTCACGAGTGTCGCGAAACCAAACCAAACAATTACCATAGCCAGTCAGAACCAAGGGTAAATCATTAGGAGCCAGTAAGAAAGTATCGTGCATGTATACAACCTCGAGCGCGGGAGAACACCCGTGCCGCGATTGGTTCGGATCTCTTGAGCATTTCATAATTGAATGTTTAAAGTAATCCGGGACTGCTATGGTTTTGCCTTTCTTCGCTCTGTGATTGGTCCAGAAAATTTGCGCCACCCTCTCAACCAATCAGATGCAAACTAAAACCAGTCACGACTGGGTCGCTCGCGCTTTCCCGCGCTTTGAGTCCTCAGTGGCTCTTGATGTTATTTTCTATTTTTTCGATTGGCCGTTGTGCAATCGAAAAACGCCTTAATGTTATTGGCGGAGACCAAACCAATCAGCAAAATGAAGCAAGAGTAATGTAATGTCGGATTATTTGACTGGCACAAGGAAAAAATGCTCGTATTTTACTTGCAAATAGCTTCTTTTGTGTGCCTCTTTCGTCCACCTTCCTTGAAAAAATTTGGTGCTCGATACCGAAGCAAGTGACTCCTTTAGCAGGATAGTTGTAACATGTTTACTGAAAACATTGATTCAAGTGACATATTAATTATTTAGGAAGAGCGGAAACCTCACAATTATAATTGCCGAGGACAATCTAATCACTTAAAAAATGATAAATTATTTAAGTTCTTTTTTTAAATTCACATTTAGGTACGTATTTATAACTTGACAGTTCTGCCTATAATACACACCTGTAATATTTGAATATTTTAGTGCCATCAAATGACCCAAAGAATCTTTAGATGAGCCGCTAAAAGTAAATATGTCGCATAAAAGTCTTAAACAGCTTGAATAAAAGAGTTGCCAAGGAAAAAGTGAAATATTTCAACGGTTCTTGAAATCAGCCTTTTTCTGTGTTAATATAATTTTTTGTCAAAGCTTGCAAACTTGAATTGTTGCAAATATAACGGCGCGTAGTTTTAACAGAACGGGAACAAATTGTTATAAAAGCGCTTCGGAAATACTTTTTGAATTTTTTTATCTAAGGGATTATGCGGACAGAAAGGTATTAGCATACATTTTGAATTGGATTTTAATCATGGAGGAAGATTTTATGTACTCTTTTAACAGAATTTAATAAGTCAGCAAACCTATTGAAGAACGAAATCCCAATTAAACCATTGTATGCTAGGTAAACCACAATTTAATACGTGTGAATTAAATTTCAAGATAAATTTTTAAGGTCATAATTGTAAATATGCGCATATGAAATAAAATAATACTTTGCACACGATGACGCGAAGCGTTTTTTCAATTAAGACTTTTTAAAACCGGCGTAAATCGCTCCATTTTTAGGTGAAAATGAGCAAAAGCACCTTGATAAATTCTATTTGCAATGTTCAGCCTGGCATGTGAGGGATTTGTGAATATAAAATAAAACAAGATTCGAAAATTTTCGAAACGGTTAACATAGGAGCAAAAATTCCCAACTTTCTAAGTCTCCGAAACCGTTCAAAGGAAGATAAATTTTTGCCCCGGTCTTCAAAAGAAAAAAAAACTGGAAGGAGTAAAGGGAGGAAAAATAAAGGAATGGAATGAAAATTGTAGCTGCTCCGATTCTGAAAACTGGGGCGGCATTTTTCTTCGGATTAAGTAATTTCTTATGTCACCGTAGACTCATTTCAATGCAGTCTGTTTTCCGATATGTTTGTTAGTTCGTTTTTGCTTTTACTTCTTCACATACGATCGGGGTTAGAACTTTAGTAAAAATGTTTCTCTTGCTTTTCGAAAAAAAATTGAGGTTCTATTTTGAGTTGCCCCGCGGTTAAAAAAAATTAAGACAATTTATAGATACAGTGTTTATATTTTTTCTGTTCAAGGGCTTGAGGGCTTGGAACCTATCATTAGCTCGTATCTCTGCAAAGGCTTAATAGTGACGTGGTGGATAAAACTCGTTAATCTGCATATCTAGCTATTAGTATCTAGTCACATCTGACTAAACTCACAGATCGTCATCCTTGCATTTATTTCAATGATAATTAGGACACTGGCAGCTGAACGGCGACAATAGAAGATCCAAAAAAACCGCAAATAGTCGCCTAGGATCGAAATGGATTTGCCCTCTCCCAAGCTACAGCCAAAGTAACAATCATTCGAACGCTTCGGGGTGAATTCTGATTGAAGGGAAAAATCTTCCGCTATTTTGGGAAGAAATAGAAAAAAATCGTCCGCTTTCTCGCCAAGTTTGGAGATTTTCGATCGATCGCTGGTTGCATGCGCTAGTTGAGTGTCAATTATGGCTTACAGTAGTAGCTGGAAACGAATGAAAAAAGTGTTTTCGTGGGGAAAGAAGAATCGGAATTCTCAGCCGCCTCCTCCCACACCTTATAACGACGAACTTACATCATCACCAGGTAATATGCCTGTTTTTTCTTCACCGCAAAACAAAACTGTTCTAATATTTGCTCTAGCTTCTAGGCTTTTAGTTTACTTACGTTATTGCATTACCGAAATCTAGCTCTATGACAGATTTTGAAATCACAAGGCCTTCTGGTTTCGTGGTTAATTTTTTTGGTCAACTTGAAATCCTCTTTTGGTCAGGCAACCAGTTGATTTTGCAGGAGTTGCACTCAAAATTGCCCCTTGTCTTTATCAAGATAAAGGCTTACAAAAACAACGATGGTTTTATATGCCAAGTACACTGAACCTAGATACATGCTCAAATTTTAGAAGACTGAATTATCCACAGCACACAGGCTGAAAGAAATATATATATTTTTTTTTTTTTAAGCGAATATTGCTGTCAAAATGTCGTTATTTTCAATTCAACATTCTCATTTTCTCGAGTTTTTTAAAAGAAAAGACAAACATGTTTCCTGCGGTGTTGAAAACTTTAAGATATTAATTCTATGGAGTAGACTAAAATTCTACTTGAAGTCTTAATGTCGTTTGAAGCAGCCGGTCATTTTGGCTTGTATACGTCTAATGTGCACAAGGCCGATTCCGTTGGTAAACATGGCAGATATATTAATTTAAGGCCACGCACAGCCAAGCGTAGACAGTTTATTCTGTTGTTTTAGTGAAAGCATATTTTATTCCTACAGTGTATAATGTAGTGGTGACTCTGTGGTCGTTCATTTGGCTGTTCTGCGAGCCTCAAAATTGTTGTTGAGAATATTGAGATTAAAAAGCGACGCACGAACAAATTTTTAGTGAATTTTGACTTAAAACATTGTCTTCTGACTATTATAACCCTGAAATATAAACACATTCAATTCTTCAAGAAATACAATGTTTTCGTTACGTTTCTGTCGGTGGTTTGAGGTTTAAAAGAGATCAGCTGCGTAAGAGAGTTTAGACTTAAACTTAAAAGTCCAGCTGCGGTACTTTTAAGCGATACAAGTCACAAAAATGGTATATGGACTTTAAGAATATAATTAAGTCAAATGGTCGAAAATTCGACCGCTTACGCCCAGTGAGGTCTTTGTTAGATGGTGATAGTAGAGTGAAAAAACCGTACTTTAGTATTTTTTTTATTAATAAACGACCTGATTTCGCTTACAAAAAGACAAATTCTGTTCCGCAAATGAAATTATGTAGCAGATCATTTACCCGCCTCAGAAAAAAAAAAAAAACATTTAACAGCGTCGTCCATTCCTTTTATAACCTATAGTCGCGTATTTGGTTAATAAATTTTCTCGTCAAAATTGACAAGCAGGACAATTATTCTGACAAGTCATCTTTAGATTTCAAACGGAATATTTTTTATTATAAGTCGTTGGGCTGTAATTTGCATTAAAGTTTCTTTAGAAATTTTTTTTTGACAGCCTGCCGCGGGCCGCCTCGCCGCTCACGTCTTTTAAATATTGATAAGGTCACTTTCATTCCGCTAAAACGTTTGCGGCATGTTCATTTCGATTCTGTTACTGAATCGGAACCATACTTCAAGAAAGGCTTCCATCGATATATTAAATCTAACCTCATAGACAATATATTTCGATGCGAGCAATTTCACCGACAATAGGTCCTTAAAGAGAACAATTTACATCTTGAAAATGTCGAGATTAAAATTCAGACAGAACTCTTGCGGTAACCATTGGTAACCGCGGAATTTAGCCGTGAGTGAACTGAAAGAGATTCAAAACAATGGAGATTAAAGTGGCCTATCTGGCCTGTTTTGAATACAAAAAAATTCAACACGTAAGAGTTCGGAAGGCGATAATTTGAAATATGTGCTAAAGACTCACGCCATTGAAGGAAATTATTGTTCGTTGAATAATACATTATCTTGAAATATTGTTCGACATAAGAACTTATTTGCCAGCAAAGATAAACTGAATTTGGCATTTTATTGGTAAAATGAGCAAGGATAATGTTTTGTGGTACCAAGGAAACCCATTTCAAAGTAAACAAACTGCAGTGGAAGAAGATGATTGGCTATTTTGTAAAACCCACTGATCTCATTGGCTACCAGCAAAGGCTGCCTTGTCTTGAATGACGTTTACCGCCAAAGCTACACGCAGGCGCATTGACTGCGTAACTAGGATCTTTCCGCAATTGAACTTAGATCACAACAGCGCTAGCTCGTAAGTGATATGAGGGTCAATGTGTAAAGCTTGAAAACAGATCGTTGTGTTTGATGTGGAAGTATTATTTCGGGAAATTTGGATATGGAAATGGAATTGGAAATACCCGGTGGTTTGACGGATTTGCTGCAAGAGTTTACTTACCAAGTTTTGTCAGAGAAGCCTGACGATATCGTTGAGTTTGCAGCCAATTACTTCATGAAACTTAAAATAAAAGAGAAGCGCTCAAAGGACGGAACGAAAAAGAAGTCGAGAGGTGTCAGCTTTCATGCTGAAGAGAACGGTGGTGACAATTCTGATGACGAGGACGACGAAGAAGATATAGGTATATACTGTGTAGAAGTCAATCAATCATCATTTTGATCAAGCGAGCTATCTGACAACGAAGTCCCGAAACTCCGGAAGGATTTCAAGAACTCTCCAGGCGTTTATTTCATCAGCTCATTGCTCTTTTTGTTAATATGACTTTTGTCTCATTAGTTATGGCATGATTGTCAGGTGAAAGAGTTATCTTTGTTTACAACCTGTGGTTTGTACGTGCTGTAGTTTAACTCAATGCACAGCGACTACCTTTTTATGATTTTATTTTCATTGTCACCAATGAAATAAAAAAATGGGAAATAAAACTATGTGTGTTGTTCTCTTACCTCTCTTACCTCTGTAATTGATGAGATTGTTTTGAATATATTTCAGAGCCTCCAAAAAACCGATATGCAAGACGCCAGTCTGGTAAGTTACACACGTCGTTAATTTTATTCCGTTGTTTATTTCAGTATTCAATCCATTTCTCAAATGCCATGCCAAGTTTTATTTTCGGGTTGCTCCGTAACGCATTAAGCGGTTAATAAGTGAAATTAACTCCGTAGGTTTGTGTTCTCTTGATCTAATATCAGTGTAAAAATTGTGATGAACTTTGTTATTTGATTATGAAATATGAGATGGAGTACGAGAGAGTTCGTTGGCGCAAAACGCAATTCGCGTTTCAAATAAGACATTTCGCGCACATTTTTAATCTATCGCTGTAATTTTTTTTTCAGTTTGTGCCGAACCATTAAACCCTGATTCGGACGACGAAGGCGATGAGAACCCGGTTAGTATCAAAGAGCTAAATCGATTATCATTTCACGTTTGGTTTTGGCTAAGTCCCTATTTGTTTGTACATTGGATGCAGAGAAATCTGCATTATTTTGCTTAAATTAATCCTTCTTTTGTTTAAAGTTAGTTCAGGCGATTTTATTTGCAAACAGTTGCTCGCTGGAGATAACTCAATTTTAAAAGAAAGCCTTCTTTATCTTCGTACTAAAGCGCATTTGTCTAAAGTCAAAACACAGAAGCCATCTTGTGTTTGCAGCATATTTGTTTAAAGAGCGTAGCAAAGTAATTTTGGTCAGTTTCCTGTCCATGTTTTTTCTTGTATTGTGCATCTGTCACCCAGCATAATCGTACTGAGAGCTATTAGCATAAAAATTCAAGCATTATTTGAAATGTGATATGTTGTCCCAGTGATAAAAAAATATTCAAGTTCATAAGTGTATCTTGTATCATTGCAATATATGCTATCTTAATCTTGTTGCTTATGGTTGTGCGGAAAATTTTTTTTTAAATCGATTTACATCCAGGGGAAAAATTGTTCACAAACATGAGAGATATTTAAGATGATGTCCTGCTGGGCTACAATTAAATGCCTGCTACCATCAGGTGCTTTCCGAGTGATGCTAATCAATAAAGTTAAATATTGCTCCTGGGTTATATTTTTAAAACCTAGATTGAATTTTTTTTCCTTTGGAGATTATATAAGGTATTTTAAAGATAGTTAAAGCCATGGACATGCTTGTATTTTGCGATTTATAAATATTAGTGGTGTTTTGAGACTTTTTGTAACTGCTCAAGCCGTAGGTGAGTTAATTTCCAAATCTGTCAAACATCACAAGTGATCCTTAATTACAAAATGCATGAGCAGTTCATGTATTTTTAAGATAAAAACTTGTGATAATAACAATCTTTTTTGTAATTTTAATGAGAAAATAAAATTATGATTATGATTTTAAGCTCATTTTTAATTTCATGTCGGTGTCTTGGTTTTTTTTTTTTTTGGTGCGTGTGGCAACACCAAGATTTGATGAAAAAAATTGAGATAAAAGCAAAAAACTTAAAACCATCTTGGGGTATAGTGTTAAAAAATATCTTAAGTTGTCTTAAAAAATGAATACTTTATGACGTTTGCATAATGTCATTGTTAAGTCAAGAAATAATATGAAGGGTGCATTTAAATATAGAAAGAAATGACAATCCTATAGAGTTATGAAAACAATAGTAAAGACTAAAACAATGATAAAATAAATGTTTTAAGGAGGAGAACAAAATGATGTAACAACAGAGGGATAAATATGCCCATAGAATTTTGAAATTTCCATTATATGTTTCTTGTCATTTGACTTACCATATGTAAACACATTTTACAAAATATTTTAATATACAGAGGAGCTGTCTATCATCAAGATCACAAAGTGATATTTATTAGTCAGCAAAAATTCTTTTTTTACACATCATGGTAAAATGTTTTTATCATATGACTTACCATATGTAAACATGTTTTACAAAATATTCTCATATACAAAGGAGCTGTCTATCATCAAGATCACAAAATAATATTTACTAGACAGCAAAAATTCTTTTTTTTTTTTTTTTGCATCATGGTAAAATTTTTTTATCATGCTGGTCTTGAAATCAATCTTACTTTGTTTACAGATTGTCTATCCAAAAACTGACGATCAAAGGAAACGTCTAAATGATGCAGTCAGGAATATTTTACTCTTCAAGAATGTAGCTCCTGTAAGTTTTTGATGGTCTGAGTATGGTTTATTTGAAATCAACCTCTCAGTTTGTTTTGTTTTGATGGTTCTCTTATACTGTTTAATTTGCCTCTATAGGAAAAAAAAGGGGGGAGGAGGGAGGGGGGGTTTGGTGGCAGAACGCACTAGTACAAATTTGACAAAAAAAGAGATTGTTATAAACTTTCAGACAAGAAAAATATTAAAAATTCACAATCCAGCAAAAGTAGCCATGTAAGCACAGAGCTGTGGGAGTGCAGAACTTGCACAACTCTTTCCAGACTGGGTTACCTTATCCTCTCCTATTCTACACGCATAAGCTTTCATTATTGTTTCTATGGTATTTTGTGAGTGGAACTGGATAGGTCTTGTAATAAATTTAATTATTCCCATCTGCTAGTGTTGTAATTGTCCAGGGTAACTCTTAACTTAACATTACCCAAACTGTTGTCATATCAGTCAAAAACAGCATGCCCTGTAACTGTTCAGAGATTAGATAAGTGAATGAATGAATGAAAATTATGAATTTTTACTTCAAAATTCAACTAAATTCATTGCTTGATATTCTGCAAATCAAAGTCATCTAGTGAACACATAACCTGAAATTTTCCTTAACTCTTTTTCAGGAGCAACTAAATGAGGTTCTTGATGCAATGTTTGAGCGAAAAGTGCAACCAGGAGATCATGTTATAGACCAGGGAGATGATGGTGACAATTTTTATGTCATAGACAAGTAGGTGTTGCATTCTAAAGGCTCAGTTTTTCATAGAAAATTGTTGGAGAAATATTAGTGTAATTAACTCTCATGAGTGACCAAGACAGAATTTCTCCTTACAGTATTAATACAATATTGAGCAGAGATGAGAATAAAGAAAAATATCAGTTAGGGGATTTTAATTTGATCTAATACCAAATTCTCCAAACTAACATCTGAAGAACTGTATGGAACATAGTTAGGAGATCTTGGGAGTTCAAGGGTTCGATACTACTTTACCTTTCTATAGTGCTCATTTTTATCAAATTTTATCAAAAATACTGAAGAAGTCTTAGTTTGCTAAACCCTAGATAAACATTTTGTACGGTAATGACAAGTAAAATTTGTTAAACAATCAGCATTTTCTTGAAATGGTGATCATTTCTTTTATTCTCATGACCTCAATGTGTGATTCAAGAATGATGCTGTAAGGAGAAACTAGAGGCAGTCACTCTTAGGGGCTGAAAGGATGACTTTTGTTATTGATTGTTAGACTCCTAACTCTCAAAGTGCCGCACAGTCAGCCATGTAAAATTTAATGGTCACCAGTGTACTGCCAGAGACCTCAACTAACCAGTAGCTTTATGTACCCCTTTTTCTTACCATTTGGGATATAATTTTATGTTTATTTGTGTTTTTAATTTTTAACAGGGGCATTTTTGACATTTATGTGAAAATTGAGGGCAATGATAAACTGGTAGGAATTCTTACTTGTATTTTAGTGTACTTTTGTGAAGTTTTTTAGAAATTGTGCGCTTCAAATAATAAACAGTAAAATGTCTTTAATTTACCTAGTTTTTGAAAACACTACTGACCATCATTTTACAAGAAAAAATGTAGATGCCGATTTCTTCTTAGTTATACAGAGCTACAACCCAACCCAAAATTGATAGGGAAACACCCCTTTTTCCTCATTCGCCTCTCATCTCTCATATAATTTGCAAGTTAATTTCATTTTCCTAACACACACACACACACACACACACACACAACAACAAAACTTGCCAAAACTCCCCCCACCCATGGCTGCTTTGGGTGTTGAAATTGATACCCTATCCCAAGACCATCGAAGAGTGGTTGAATCTAAACATACAATGTAGATGGAATTGCTGTTGAGAAAGGAATGTTTTGGCCAGGAATCCAGGCACAAATCGGCAATCACACAAAACTGAACCTCTACCAATAGATGTCTAGTTTTAGTCACAGTTGTACCATCTTGTTTGTGAACATTCTGGCCATTCTCACAGGTGTTGGGGATCAATGTCAGTATCTGAGCACCTACCCCTCCCTTAACCCAACATTAACTCAAACTCGTTATCTTTTGATTGTTGTTGGGTCAGGGAAGGGGTAGGTGCTCAGTTGCTCAGATACCGACATTAAACTAATGTTAGTTTATAAGCTTTGATGGTGATGTGGAACATTCACTGAATTGTTGAATAGTGGCAATAGGACTGAGTGGAGTCAAATTTGGTCTATAATGTATGAATGAGTAACAAATTTGGATGACTGCAAAGTAGGAGTTTGATTTGTTAAAAACAAATGTGATTACAGATAGAAATGGAAGACACAAAGTCCTGTTGCCAATAGATCAAAACTATGCCAATCACTTAGACATTTTCATAAGAAAAACAACAGTTAACTTGGCAGCATGTGTGATGACAGCTCACACGCTTTACATGTACTGTTCAATTTCCTAGGCATGACACTTACACTGTCCAGTCACACTGTCCAATTTCACTGTTCAATAGAAAGTGATGCATATACATTGTCCGATTAGTGCTCAAATTAGGCTGGTGATAACCAACCATACTCCAGAATTTTGATATGTAGTGTTGATCAACAGGTGGTGATGCAAGGAGAATTGCACTAGCAAACTACCCTTAGAATTTTATTTTTACTTTAAGAAAAATATAGTCTTCAATGAGGTGTACTTATTATTTAGTTTAACTGTTGATAGGTTGGTGCTTACAATGGAAAGGGAAGTTTTGGCGAACTTGCATTGATGTATAACACACCAAGGTAACTTCATACATCATCACAAACACTACATAAAATTTATCATTGGCATCTCTTTGAGTATTAACCCTTTACATCCTAAGATCAGCATGCTTATTCTCCATACTGTTTTCTGTTCAACTCCTAAGGTGCTGACAAAGAGAATATGTTTATCAGTCAAGAGAATATTTAGTTGGTGATCATTCCCTTCATTCTCATAACCTTACTGTATGATGCAGGGGTTATACTGTTGGGAGAAATTATAGGTTAGTCACTCTTGGGGGTTAAAGGGTTCATTGAATGTTGAATAGGGAAGGCAGTGGAATGAAAGTGGATGGGTAGAAATTAAAACCTTTGATAATCTGCATGATTTTGATGAGGGAGGGCTCAGTATTCTCTTGGTGACAGTCAGCTGCCATCTTTGATTTTTATGGCACCAAAGGAGTGACCGACGGTCAAAAGGAAGGAGGGGGGGAGGGGAAGGCAATAAATATTTTTGCCTTTCCTTGCCACCTCTCCCACTGTCTACTTTAACTCTACATCAAACATGGCTGGTTAAATAAACAATTGTGAGCTTTTTTTAAAATGTTAACTCTCCTAAAAAGATGCCTGCGCTTCAGGCTATACCAGTGGAGGACTTCTGATTAATATGTGGTTTGACCCGAGGCATTTGAGAGTGTGAATGCTCAATATTTTGGAGGTGAAAATTGTGGCTGCCATCTTTGATTTTTACAGCAGTAGAAGGCTCATTAGGGAGAGAAAAATTTGTGCTTAAGGGGTGAGCAATGGTGGACAGGAAGGAGAGGGGAGGGGTGGGGCAATAGGAAATCCCAAAAGGGATTGTCAGAGAAAATAAAACCCTGTGAGGATCTTAAGAAAGTAATTTTTGTGGATGAGTGACACCAAGGGTGCCCATTAAACCATTTTCTCTCTGCAGAGCGGCAACAATAGTGGCAACTTCAGAAGGAATTCTCTGGGCTCTGGTAAGAAAACATGTTTTATTTCCATAAATTTCAGTGTCTGATTTTATACTGATAGCCTTGTAGAAGACTTTATTGCCAAAACTTTGGGCTAATGAAGTACTGGTTATTTAAACAGGACAGAAATACGTTTAGGAGGATACTATTAAAGGCTGCAGCCAAAAAGGTGAGTGCTTTACTAAATCCAAATATCTGTATAATTATGTTCTGAAATCCTCTTAATCCTTATGCTCCCAAGATCTAATTAGTAATTCTCCTTACTATCTGCCATATAATTCTCATGATGTTAGTTCAGAGAATTTGGTATTGGATCAACTAATAATCCAATAATTGATATTATTCTCTATTCTCATCACCTAGCTGCTTGGTATTGTATTGATATTGTAAGGAGAAATTCTGTCTTGGTCACTTGTGGGAGTGAAAGAGTTAAATTCAAGATGTCATTCTTTCTTTTTGTTGGAATTACTGTGAAAGCCAGAAAACCATGAGTGCTTTGAATTGATTCTTACAAGTCAGCTGTGTATTTACTGATCACTGACAATAAAATCCAGCACATCTGCAAACCTCAAAACCACAAAATAGTTGCTATCGCTATCTGTAGATTAGTTTGATTGCTCCTCACTGGTGCAGTATACATGTGGACATATTACAGGTGTCTGTAGTTTTCAGCATCTCAGTTTATAAAAATATGACTGTTTCACTATGATTGGTATTTAAACCACTATTGTCTCATTATCACCTTTATTTGTAGGGGTTTTAATAAATTTTACCATAAGGGGCTGCTGATGGTGTTCTTGGCGGCTGTGCCCAAAAAGGGGCCACAGGGCAAAACCTTAATATGAGAGCCTGTCCACAGGCTTAAAAGACAGTAGTGAGAGGTTTTTCAGGGGGCAGTAGACTGCTATTAACCAGCTTTCATGGAAACTTCTGTTACAAGTCTTGTTATTGTTGTAGTTAGTGTTCCAAGACTATTTTATGATGTAGGGAACAATGCTAACAAGATACCATTCTCTTGGAGGTAGAGGTTCAGTCACTGTTAAGAGGTGAATTTTTAAAACTTTCCTCTGCTGTAGTGACTTTATACAACTGTAAAAGATCAATTTGTCACTTGAATGTTTAACCTAAGTTTTGTTTTCTATTTTCAGAGGAAAATACATGAAAAGTTACTAGAGCAAGTTCCCATGCTGAAGGAAGTTACGGTAAGAACGTTTCCTCATCCTCCTCAATTTGCTTTAATAGAACTGATTGCTTAAGTGAGACTCTGTGAAAGAATAAGATTTTAAAGTTTCACATCAAATTGGAGATATTGTTTTCCCTTGTCAGAGACAAGTGTTTAAAAAATGACTGAAATTATTTCAAGGTAAATACCTCGGATTTTTCCCAAATGTCAGAAAAAATCGAGTGAAAAGGAGTTTGTAGACTTTGTTTTCTAGTTGTCTTAAGCCTTAAAAGAGATTTGTTGCGTGTATCTCGAACACTGACTGCAGTTTGGTTTACTACTAAAATCTTGAACCAGGAGCATAGTCACTGAAACTGTGGCAGAGGTCTGTTTTGGGGAGAAACTATCGAGAAAATCTGAATATTCCGATCAATGGCATTAATGAGTTGGTTTTGTGGTAAATAGCGTTGTATTTGCATAACTATCTTCAGGACTATGAGATCATGAATCTAGCGGATGCACTTCAGTCCAGGACGTTCAAAGATGGAGATTGTGTGATCCAGCAGGTAAGAGAATTACATATATTTAACCCATAACACCCTGACATCAGTATGCATATTCTCCATACTGTCGTCCATGTATTCCTAAGGTACTGATAAGGAGAATTTGTATAATGATCTAGTGGTTCTTTAACTGGTGATCGTTTCTCTTGTCCTTGTGACCTTGGTGTGTGTGTTTTAAGGGGTGATGTTGAAAGGACAAATTAGATGCCAGTCTCTTCTAAGTGTAAAAGGGGTGAGGACAGCTATCATACAGTGAACATTATTATAACCGTTTTTTTTTCAAGACGACATTATTAGTTCGACTTTCATATAACTGTCAATCTTTTCTGTAACTCAAATCATTAAATCCGCTCTCTGTTATGCACCGCTAGCCCATAATATGCATCCCTCGTGGGTCGATTTTAAAAAGCAACCTTTCACAGGAGACTTTAACTGGTGGTCTCTTCTTTGCAGGGAGATGAAGCAGACTGTATGTTCTTCGTAGAGAGCGGAGTAGCATCTATCAGGATACGCAATCAGGTACAGACTCCACCCTCATTTGTTTTTCCATTTTGATTTGAAACACAAGATCATGACTTTTTTCCTGCCAAAAAAAAAACAGTGGAAGTAAGGAAGTTAGTTTATTAAAGTAAGTTTTGTAAAGCAATAATCCTCGCAGGCCTCGACGGGATTCAATCCCGTGCCTCCCAGTTACTACTTTTGAGATGTGTCCATTTGTTATCAGCTTTTGTCATGGTTCATATGGTTTTTCTCTTCTCTTGTTTTCGTTTGTACCCATTTTCGGCTCTCTTTATTTTCTCTTGCGTCAAAGACCTCTTAACTATGCATTTGCCGTATTTTAGCTATGACATGATGTCCTGTCTATTTTGCTCCGTAGGATGATCCTACAGAAGAAGTGGAACTGACACAGTGTACAAAAGGGGGTTACTTTGGTGAACTGGCGCTTGTTACCCACAAACCACGTGCTGCGTCGGTGTATGCAGTAGGAGACCTTGTCACTGCGGGTAGGCTGGAAAATGTTAATTAAAGCACTTTTCGTTTCAATTTTCCTAAAACAACATTAGGAAAGTGGTCAATCAGAATAAAAGGAAGTATTATAACAACCCAATGAGAGCTCAAATCGTGTTAGCTGTCTCAAGCGCGGGAAAACACGAAAAGCCGTGTAACTATTGACTTGAGTTTGTTGTCATTGGTGGAAAAGGTGGCACACGGTTTGTGGGCCAATCACAGCGAAGTAAAGCGAAACCAACACAATCTCGGATGATTTTTAACGCTCGATTGAAGAATTCTTCTTGTTACTTAGCGATATCTTGGGAAAGACATTTACGGGAGGTTGCAGATTACTTCAGTAAGCCCGTCACCATCAACACTCCTACGATACGGCCGCCATCATCACGGCAGTTATTATGTTGTAACTAGTATTAACAGTATTTCGATGATAATTTCTGTTTGGAAGGTTTGCGTGAAACTGTTCTTGAGGATGGGGAAGAAATTTAAAAAACAGTGTAAGGAAAAAAAATGCACCAAAAGAAATTCGTGCCAGCAAGAAACAAGCAGACAAAAAATTCATCCATTGACGTTCAAAACCTTTATTAAAAGAACGGAAATATTCGTGCAACATTTCATCAACAACAACAGCAACAGCGAAACCCATGTCTAGAAACAACCAGAATTTCCGTTTTTTCACCTTTTAATTTTATCAGTGCTCCAACCCTAATTTGATAAGGAAGTTGACGAACCCTTCTTGAAGGAGCTAAAAATAAGACTTCTTGTAAAGAGCTCAAACGTCTTCTTTTTTCTCCTTTTCTTTAGTTCTTGACGTGCACGCTTTTGAAAGGCTTCTTGGCCCTTGTATGGATATTATGAAGAGAAATATCGATGGTTATGAAGACCAGCTGAAAAAACTTGGCATCGGGCACACAGAACTACGGTGAAGTGCTTTGAAAAAAATCATGATTTTAAAACTGCTCTAGGATGGCCTTTTTTTTTGTAACATCTACCGTTTCTTTACCGCTTCACCTTGTCAACAATCTGTTTGGAGTTTCCAAGCGGGAAAATAATCTTTATATCCGATTTTGTTCTGTTAAGTATTTAAAAATGGTTTAATCTTAGTTATTGTGTTGAAAAAGAAGAAGAAATGAATTGAATCATAATTTATTGTTTTATTGAATCACTTTGTTACATGTGTTACACGTTTATTACAATTCTGGTGACTTGGAATGTAAATAAAACACGTTTATTAAAAATAGCAGTTTTGATCGTGTTTCGTACGCACTGGGCTCAGAGATGTAATCTTGTGCTTTCTCCTTCCAAGTAACTTTTTCTTGGGAGTGTTTTTGTTGAAAGATTTTTTTAAATGAGAATTTTAACGTTTAAGAGTACAAACTGGGTTCGCGTTTAGTAAAGTGTTTGAGAGCACCTAGTGGGTCGTAGCTCTGAAACGCAACCTGATAACTAATTCGGATCTACATTTTAGGAGCCGTTGAATATGTGTTAAAGAAAAATTCATAACAGTGTTATAGAAACACATTGTTAAGGTACAAAGTTTAATAAAATCTTTAGTAAAACCATATAAATCTGAAATGGCGCCGATGTGGAAAACAATTCTGAAGTGTCAAATCCAACATACAATTGTTGCGCGCTTAGTTGCCAGACCTAAGAACAGGAGTGAGGTTGAGGAGTGGGCATGATACCAAAGACGTAGTGGCCTGGTGCTGAATGCACAGGGCTTCGGGTCGAGACGGCCGGCTTTAAGACGTGACCGGGTCAGTGAGTTGTGTTCGTGGGCAGAATGCGTTACTTTCAGTGTCTCTTTCCACTCAAAATCAGCTTTCGTAAATTTGAAGCACCAGCCAAAGAAAGAAAATGTAAAACCATTTCTGGAACGAAGGCGAGGCAATAAAAAGAAGGAAGGAAGGACACAAATCATCAAAACATTTTTATTTTACAATGGTCCATTGTCTGTTTATCTACCTGAATTACGACAGTCAAGAGAAGTGAAAATTTCACATCAACAATAAGTAGAGAGGGCTTGGCGAGGGAGCGAGTAAGGCGTACGAGGGCGGCCGGCATGGTTCGCATGCTTCTCACGCTTAAGCTTGTGTTGTTCCCACGCGTGACAAACTCGCTCCATGCAGGTTCTCAGCCAAGCGCCCACCACGCAGATTGTAAGCTGTACACTGCACAAAGCTAAGTAAGATCAGAATTTAGAGTTATGAAACCTCAAACACGGTAGTCACAACGGCCAATTAAGACGAAATACTAAAAGTAGCCAGTGAGAAATTCACGTACACATGGCGAACTATCACAGAGCGAAAAAAAAATATGTAAGGCCACAGCAGTAGTAGTGTGCGAGCAGGCCATCATTATAAGCGCTTCGGCACTCGCGAGAAAGTATGAGGTCTTGAGCGACACGAGCCGACAGGAGAACGGCAGACCTCTCCCCAACTCGTCTTTAATCTTCCCGGTGGCGGAAAAACACGTGTCTTGCAGCGCCATTAATGAGAGCCTGCTCCCATGCTAAAGTAACAATGGGTTCCTTTTGACACACGATTGAAAATTGCTCAAAAGTAGGTCTCATATCGGTTAAAACTTCCCTTAAATCACAACAAATTCTAGTCTTAAATTTCCGCAATGTTCTCCCAAATGGAAATAAATATACCTTTGTGCTACTAAGTAATGATTGAAAAAAAAAAA